TGAGCTACAGCACCACTTCCGGTTTTCTGGTGGTTTATTAGAGATAGGAGTCTCACGGTCTTTCCTGCCCGGGCTGGCTTTGAACCGCGATCCTCAGACCTCAGCCTCCTGAGTAGCTAGGATTACAGGCGTGAGCCACCAGCGCCCGGCTGTTCGTTGTTTTGTTTTTTAACAAACAAAATTTTTACATAAAATAGACTAGCACATGAATTTCTATTGTATGTAGCTGGAAGGTTCTCTATCAGTGTCAGTTATATTACTACTAGGAAAGTGAAGTACATGAATAACTATCTGTCCAAACTAAAAATATTCACAGGGTATAAAGGTCACAAGTGGTAAAAAATCCTGATTAAGAATAACCCCAAGTCAGAGAAGTTACATGTTATTATAAATTCTTACTTTAAACATCAGATACTCTAATAAAGCAAGATGCAGAATTTTGATTCAGACTGAACAGATTTAAAGACAAGTATAATGACAGATTTCTTTTGCAGCTCTTAAATTACAAACTGAGATCAGATACCTCGGGACCATGAATCCATTCCAAACTGTTTTATCACTCAAAGCCCATGGCTCTAAATTATGACATTTTCTCAAAGCTTATCCTCATCATATTTAATCAACAGGAAATTTACATTAAAGTTGAATTAAGGACTCAATGAACTGATAATATATTGAGAAACTATTTCAAAGAAGTCCTTAAAATAACCCTAAGATTCTGCAAAATTTACAAATTGCATTTATTCAGAAATATAACATTCATATAGATTTTTAAAGTGTAAAACAAAATGACAAAGGAATTCTTTCACTGGAATTTGCTTCTCAAATATGTACAGGAAGCTTAAAAGGTCAAGAAAATATTAAGATGCCAAGTATTGATGGCTCATGTCTATATATTCTAGCTACTTGCTGGCTGAGAGCAGTAGCATCAAGGTTCAAGCCACTTTGATAGAAAAAAACAAAAAATTCCTCAAAACCTTCATTCAAAAACAAAATAAAACACAAAAAGTAGGGCTGAAGATGTGTAGTTCATGAACAGCTTAGCAACTACAAGGCCAAGAATCCAGTACCACCAAGAAGGAAGCCAGGGAAGGGAGGAAGAAGAGGAGAGAAGGGAGGAGATGGGAGGGAAGAGAAGGAGATAGGGTAAGTTCAAGTAAGAGGAAAAAAGGGAAGGAAGGAAGGAAGGAAGGGAGGGAGGGAGGGAGGGAGGGAGGGAGGGAGGGAATGGTAAGAATAAAAATAGTTAAAGTCATTGCAAAAACACAGTTAAGTACTGCTAAGAAACTAAATTGGAATGGAAAGGGGAAAATAAAAAAAAGGGTAAAGGTGAGAGGGAAATAACAATACCCAAATGGAAATTATTTTTTAAAATTAAAAAAACGTGTAATATTTGATAAACTTCACTTGTTTCCTTAGTCTGTTCTTAAACATTTAGATATCTTAAAGCAAAATACAAATTCCCTTTATAGTATTTATTCTCTCAACATTTTAACATTCAAACACGAAGTAAATCAATAAAGAGCACAAGTGAAAGTTTTTTCATGTGTTGAAAGAGGTCTATTTACTACTTATATTATTTAAAGTTTCCAAAGGAACTGAAAATTGATGAATCTTTGCCTTATGTTTTTTAGTAAGATGGTATCAAATCCTGGCAGAGAAGTAACCTAAAGCTACTTAAAAATTGGTACGCAAAACAATTTTTTTTCTATTGAGATACCTCTTTTCTTTCTTGCAAATAAATTGCTATGCTAACAGAAACAAAGGAATTATTTCATAACTAGAGACAGACAAGAGACTATATATCCTAAGTATCAGGAAACTAATCTCTGCTCTATATGCTCTAGGAATTTCCTGCTGTATATCTCACCTCTACTCTAACACCATATGAATACATAATTTTCCCTTCAGATAGTCCCTGCATAGGAGAAAGATATTATCTAGGACCTGACTATCCATGAATGAGCCGATGTTTTGAAAATTAAAATCCAAAGAGAAAAACAAGTTTTAAAAAATCAATAGAACTTTCAAAAGATGCAGTCTTGGACAGCAAAAAACAATGTAGTTGTCCTGACCTTAAACTATCTGCTAACAGAAACAGATAAAACAAGAACAGCCATGAAAAAGATGTGTGCCTAAACCTTATTGGGGTAAGCTCCTGCATCTTCTATTCTAAGCCAAACATAAATAATTTCTCAAAACATCCATGTCTGTGTATGTACATACAAATAATATATCGTAGCTGGGCACCAGTGGCTCACGCCTGTAATCCTAGCTACTCAGGAGGCTGAGATCTGAGGATCGCGGTTCAAAGCCAGCCTGGACAGGAAAATTTGTGAGACTCTTATCTCCAATAAACCCGCTAGAAAATCGGAAGTGGTGCTGAGGCTCAAGTGGTAGAGCGCTCACCTTGAGCTATAGGCTCAGGACAGCGCCCAAGCCCAGAGTTCAAGCCCCATGACAAAACAAAAAATAATAATAATAATAATACATGGTGGAATAACTTGTTTTACCATTTACCCACGGTTTTTACCCCATAACTTAATTCAAATTGTTGCTATTATTATTTTTGTAGTAGCCAGCTCTGTCAATTAATAATTTCTACATCAGAATATACCACTGAGAGATAATAATTTCACTAAGCTTCCAAATTAAAATGGCATGTTAGTGATTTCTAAATATAATTACTTCCATGTACAATGAAGAGTTAATCATCATCAATAACTTCAGCCCTTAAAACAGTTCAGGACAATCAGATCAAGAAATAGTTTCATGACATTTATATTTTTTTATATTTTTGACAACTCATGTTTAAAAGCAATATTTCCAATGCTAAATTTATGTAAGATTTAATAGTAAATTAATGATACAGATAGGTAAAATAACTTACTTGGCCATACAACTATATCAGGAATTCGTTGAAGCATTCCTTCCCTGAGCAAAAATATTTCATGAAGACAATGACCTGTTAGGTGATTTAAAAAGTGCAGAAATATTGTAAATTAGAGTAAAAATTTAAATTGATAAACTACTTTGTTAAATAGCAACTTCTTTGTAAACTACATAAAGATAATTTTAAAAAGAACATGCAACCTTCTCAATCTTTTCCAAAACAAAACAAAAAAAGTAAACAGTATCGATATAAAATGGCTTACCATGAGCTCTAAATACTCGGTCATCTGCCTCTTGTGAATATGAAATATTGGTTTCTTTAAGTTCATAAAGAAAATCTTCATTTACAATAGATGGAGGTGCATCACTAGGATTCAAAGATGCCTAGAAAATATTTTTTATTTTTGCTTATTTGTAAAAAGTAAATTTTGAATACCTCAGTTAAAAAGAATGACTATGAAATGTACATTTTTCTCCTTCTGCATCCAAAGTTAGACAGATTCAGAAACAAAATTTATGAAAGTAGCAAATTGCCTGGCTAATCACATTCTATAACCTAAATCAGTTTCCTCTTTACTTTTATTTGCAATCCCCACAATCAAAAATAGGGAAGCCTTAAATCTTCAGTTTAGACTAAGGAAACTGGAAAGAAGCTACTTATTTTTTAACTATATACACTTTCCTGTATTTTCCTGAACTAAATACATTTTCTTTAATGACAACTTCAAAATGATTAAAAAAAACTAAAACAATCAACAAAAAATATTAGAGCAAGTATAAAACCAATGTTACAGAACTATTTTAAAACTTAGTCATGCAGCGCTTCATAATTCATACCTGTAATCCCAGAAGAAATTCAGAGAATTAATGCCAGCCCACCAAAAAAAAATTAGCAAGACCTTTATTTTACTTAATAAGTTGGCATTGTGGTATACTGTACACCTATGGTCCCAACTATACAGAAGACTATAGGTAAGAGAATCACAATTAGGCCAGGTTTGAGCAAAAATGTAAGATTCTACCTGAAAATAACTAAAGCAAAAATGTGGTTCAGGTGACTTGCCTAGAGACCCTGGCTAGCAAGTGTAAACTGTCCATTCAAACCTCTGTACTATCAAGAAAAAAAAATAAATACATAAACTTGATACTAACTTACAAGTATATTGAATGGTAATTTTCAGCTTTAAATTTAAAACTATGTGACACTGAGCCTGCCAGTTGCTCATGTCTGTAATCCTAGCTACTCAGGAGGCGAAGGATGACAGTTCAAAGCCAGCCCAAACAGGAAAGTCCATGAGACTCTTATCTCCAATAAGCAACTCAGAAAAAGCTGGAAGTAGTACTGTTGCTCAAGAGGTAGAGCACTAGCCTTGAGCACAGAGAGGCTCAGGAACAGAGCCCACACCCTGAGTTCAAGCCCCAAAGACCAACCCCTACCCCACCCCCCAAAAAAACAAAACCACAAACAAAAACTATGTGACACATTATCTTGCCCATGTAATTGTAACCCCTCTGTACAGTATGTTCACAATAAAAAAAAAAACTATGTGACACTGGGTATGTCATTCAACTTCTGTGAGCCTTAGCTTCTCAATCTGTTAAATGATATTATCACTACCAAATGTGTAGGACTATTGTTAAGGGGAGCAGCTCAAACATGCCAATTTTTGTTAAAAAAATTGTATGCCTAGCATATTAAATCTGATATAAAAGACAAGCTATAATACAGTATTTCAGAAAAAGAATGTACAAGAATATGTGAAAAAAAATCTATGATACCAGGCACAATGGCTCAAGCCTGTAATCCTAGCCATATAGAAGGTAGAGATCAAGGGATCAAGATAAAAGGCCATACCAGGATAGGAAAAAAAAAAGTTCATGAGATTTTCTGTCTCATTCAATGGCTGGGCAGATGACTGGGACTTGTTATCCTAGCTCTGAGAAAAGCACAGTGGTTGTGCAAAATGGTACAGGCCTGTCATTTGTCATTCACAGTAATATGGGGAAGCATAAGTAGGAAGATTGCAGCATAGGCTAGCCAGGGCATGGAAGGCTTTGCTTTGAAAACAACCAATCAAAAAAGTCCTGGATCACAGAAGCAGATGGCTCAGGGTTATAATCCTAACTATTCAAGAAGCTGAGAGGAGAGGATCAAAATTTGAAGCCAGTCTGGATAGGAAAATCTGTGAGACTCTCATCACCAATCAATCATCAAAAAGTAGAAGTGAAGCTGTGGCTCAAGTGACAGGGCACTAGCTTTAAGCAAAAGAGCTTGGAACAGAACCTAGGCCCTGAGTTCCAGTCCTAATAAACAAACACAGACATATCCCACAAAAATGACCTGGAAGCATGGTTCAAGTGATAGAGGCCCTGAGTTCAATACCAATATTGCCAGAAAGAAAGAGAAAGAAAGAGAGAGAAAGTCATACATGTTATGTCTATACTCTCTTATTAAGATAATTAGGATACTATATTCATTCATATAATACTGAATGGCTCTTATAAATCAGGTACTATCCTAAGCATGGAGATACAGCAGTGAATTAAACATAAAATAAGTTTGACCTCATGAAATTTATCCTACAGTAGAAGGGAAATAACCAAAAGAACCCTAAAAAAATGTATTATTATTTTCAGTTACAAAAACTGAAAGGCAATCAAATGTAGAAAAAGGGGTATATATCTAAAACTAACAAAAATTTTGAAGATGGCAACTGTAATAATGTAAAAAAATCACAAATAGTTGAGAAAGAAAAAATTTAAGAGATGAAAAAGACAAGAAAAGTTCAAAGAATGGGTAAGAAATTAGTTCCTCAGTCTAATTTATTTACAAGAATACAACAACTGGATTTCTAAATCTAGCTGTCTAAACTAAATAAAAATCTAAATTTCTAAATAAATCTAACAGTACTAAACCGAACACCAACACTTAATAATATGTTGTAGGCAATGGTGAATATTGTATAGGACACAGCCTCAAACTTTTGATTTATATTCAGCTGAAACAATATGAAAAATACAATGTGGAACAATATGAAAAGTATAGCAAAATAACAAAAAGTATTATTAATATGTAAAGAAATGCCAGATATTTTTAAAGTTTCATTTCTGTACACTTGAAAGAGTTTGGGATTTTTTTTACTGATTTTTTTTCTGTAGTCTAGGCTGGCCTCAATATCCTGACCTCTGCTTCTTGAATGTTGAGATGATAGGCATAAGATACCATGCCCAGTTCAGTTCAGCTTTTTAATCTCACTTCTGATATTCAAAACCCCATGAACAAATTAAAATCTCTACCATTTATACAAATTTTACTTTATGTAATTCTCTATACTCTTGAAGTTCTAACATTAAATGCAACATATTTTTACGTTAATTTATTTCACATTTACTCCAGATTGTGGTCAATTATTTACAAATAAGTCTATTATCTAAAAGAACAGCCACTTAGATTTTTGTAACAAAGTGCTCTCATAATTTCTCTTCACTATTACCTTGTAAGAGGTACAGCAGGTTTTACCTCTACTTCTCAAATTAAAATTATCAAGGCTCAGATAAACATGCTCCTAGAAATCCTAACATGGCCAATATAATTACAAGACTTCACCATAATAAAAATGTGAAACTATGTATTAAAGCAACTGTAAGAAATTACAGACAACTCTAATTAATTTGAGATTTAAAAAAAAATCACAGTGAAGTTATTATTATGTGCTTACTTTAGAGGTAGTTCTATGTTCCCAATATATTCCAAGGTTAGTCTGGACCCATTCTCTAAAAGATGGTAAAACCATGCCACTAAGAGGGTACCTAAGGTACAAAGAAGATAAATTATTAGAGCAAGGTATCTTCTTGAAAATATGAGTGCAAAGTATATTCTGCTTCTTGAAATGGTCAAAAAGCTATCAACCCAACTATTTCCCACATATAACTACAAACTCAGGACAAAAACAAACAACAAGCTGCTGGGCGCCAGTGGCTCACACCTGTAATCCCAGCTACTCAAGAGGCTGAGATCTGAGGACTGTGGTTCAATGCCAGCATGTGTAGGAAAGTCTGTGAAACTCTTATCTCCAATTAAATCACAGAAAAGGCTGCAAGTGGCACTGTGTCTCAAGTGGTAGCATACTAGCCTTGAGCAAAAGAAGCTCAGAAACAAAATGCCCAGGCCAAATTCAAGCCTCAGGACCAGCCAAAAAAAAGGCAAGGCAATAAATATAGACCAAAAACAGGCAAAAAGTAGAGGAACCAGGCACACTGTATTTGGAAGAAGGAGGAAAATATTACTTAAGTTTCTACTTTTGCTTTGGTTTTTTGTTAGGATTTTAATTAGAGGGAGAGCTCCAGCTGGTGCCCAAAAGGTAACAAAAATACTGACAAACTACCATCCTTCTAGCTTGAAGAACCAAGAGAGAGAGGACTGAAAACAGCAGCTAGAAAGCACACATATGAAATAAGGACTTTTTTTTTTAATAGCCCAATGCTTTTATTTATGTATTTATTTTTATTTTTTCTTGGCCGGTTGTGGGGCCTGAACTCTGGGCCTGGGCACTGTCACTCAGCTCTTCAGTTCAAGGCTAGAGCTTTACCACTTGAGCCACAGCGCCACTTCTGGCTTTTTCTGCTTATGTGGGGCTGAGGAATTGAACCCAGGGCCTCATGCATGCAAGGCAAGCACTCTACCATGGAGCCACCTTTCCAGCTTTTAACACTGGCAGAATGTCTAAATGATTCTCAATTAGACATGTAATATGTTAATGGTGCCCAAACAACAATTCCATTGTTCATTGAAACAGAGACAGATGAACAGATTTTGGAGTTTGAAATCAGGCCTGGAGTTAAAATCAGGCTTGATTTTAATGAAACAAAACTCAGAAAACTATTATTCCTTAGAGGAATAATAGAATCAAGTATCACAACAGCCAAGATATACTCCAAAATAACAAGGCATGAACAAAGTGTGATCCATAATCAAAGAGAAGGGGCAATTAATGACTGACTCAAAGATAACTCAAGATAAAAATAGCACAGAATGATTTTAAATTAGCTATATTAATTATGAAGGGAAAAAAATGTTGCCCCCCCCATTGAGTAACAATAGTCTCAATAGAAAAACAAAAATTAGAAGGGCGCCGGTGGCTCATGCCTATAATCCTAGCTACTCAGGAGGCTGAGATCTGAGGATCACGGTTCAAAGCCAGCCCAGGCAGGAAAGTCCATGAGACTCTTATCTCCAATAAACCACTAGAAAACCAGAAGTGGCGCTGTGGCTCAAGCAGTAGAGCGCTTGCCTTGAGCTGAAGAGTGCAGGGACAGCGCCCAAGCCCAGAGTTCAAGCCCCACGACCAACAAAAGAAAGAAAGAAAGAAAAACAAAAATTATTAAATTTCATTAATTACTGTGTGACTGAGCCTCTTGTCCACTTAGTTATGCTGTTTTGTTGCCAGTTGAAGTTTGTGAAACATGTTTCTATTGAGATTTTTTTTTGGTTTGTGTTGCCAGTCCTGGGGCTTGAACTCTGGGCCTGGGCACTATCCCTTGTTGTAAGGTAAATCATCCCAGAAGCCACATTTTAAAATACAGAATATTGGAGTCTTTATTATATACTAACAGGCTGCAGGCCACCAGTGGTTACAAAAGCCTGCAATGTGCAAATACACATAACCCAGCTAGGAAACACGCTAAAGAGGAAAGAAATAACAATACCAACATGCCAATTCAGCTCCAATGGAGAGCTGAACTGGGACTCCATGATGACTGCAAACAAGCCAGGAGACAGGACACAGGACAGGATCACGGAGACAACACATAGCATGGAGTCCAGAGGCTAGGCTGGTCCTGGCCTAAATAGGTCAGCAGGGGACAGATCCTCAGAAAATTCCCTGTCCCAGGCACTAGACTGACAGATTCAGTAACCTATCTACCAAGTGCCTGCCCCTGCCTCTAGGGGTGCCCATTATCTGGGAGGCAGGGGATGGGGGAGGGGGAGAGGGTTCCTTATCCCAGCATGAAGACAAGATGTCAGACTCTACAATCCAGTATGTGGCCAGTATGGCGCCAGCCAGACCTGGCCTCCTTACTTCACCCTGACCTTCTTTTGCTCAAGGCTAGCACTACATACACACAGTGAGAATTCTGGCATTTTTGAGTAGCTTATTGGAGATAAACTACTCAGAGACTTTCTTGCCTGGTTTGGCTTCTAATTGCAATTCTCAGAGCTCTGCTTCCTGAGTAGCTAGGATTATATGTGTGAGCCACTGGCATCTGGTTCTATTGAGTTACTATAGAGCTGATATTAAACACTCTCTTTGTGATTTATGTTTTTCATTCTCATGTTTTTTGATAAAAATAAATTTTATATTTTAATTTTGCTTTTTTTGGCGGCACTGGGGCTTGAACTCAGGGACTTGTTTTTACTAGACAGATAAGATACTCTACCACTTGAGCAATACCTCCAGCTAGTTAATGTTTTTTAATTCTCCAAGTGAATTATAAAACTGATTTCTTTGGCAGTATTGGGGTTTGAACTCAGGGACTTAAAACTTCCTGGGTGTGCCTTTTAACACGATATTCAACCCTTCCTGCTTTATTTTTCAGATAAGGTCTTGTGTAAGCCTCAGACCATGACACTCTTACTTTACCTTTGTTCTCTCACAGCTAGGATTCCAGGCATAAACCACAACACCTAGTTTATTATTTAGGGTGTGTGCGTGGAGGGGGAGGGAGGGCCAGCAGACATGGTGGTCCTGAGGCTTCAACTCTGGGCATGAGCAATTCTTCTTGAGGTTTTTTTTTTTGCTCACACCAATGCTTCACTTCATTTTTTTTTGGTGGTTAGTTGATAAGTCTTTGTAGACTTTCCTTTCCAGGCTGGTTTTGAATTGAGATAGTCAGAACTTAGCCTCTTGAGCAGTTAGTATTACAGGCATGAGCCCATCAGCACCTGACTCCCAGTTTATTTTTTGAAATAGGGTCTAAATAACTTTTTGCCCTAGAATACTTCAAATAGCAATCCACCACTCCCATAATCCAAATAGCTGGGATTACAGGTATGTTCCACCTATGTAATCTCAGCCTCTTCCATTTTCATATATTGACGTGTGCCTTTAATCTTAGCATATTAATGCCTTATACATATCATATATATATCCAAGTGAATACTAGAATAAATTCACAATATTATCAAATCCAAATTTTTCCTCAGGCTGAATTTTGAATTAATTTTTTAGAGCCAGAGTTCAAATATTGCCTATTGCTACCCATTCTTTTTTCATAGTTATATTAAAATTCAATAAACAAACCAAAAACCAAAACACAGTTTGGCAGGGGTAGTGTTGCACAAAACTCATAAAACTAAGATATCCTTTCACAATTCTGCCCAGAAAACAAACATTCTTCAAATTCTTTAAGTTTTCACAGTTCTATTGAGACATGAATAGCCTTTATAATTCTTATCAACAGATTAACAAAACCATCTCAGAAATGTAAAAGCTATCATACAAATGACTGATCTCTTACTATGTTTTTCCAATTATACCTCAGAAGCTAATTTTTTAAATTCTGTTTATATTCACACAGACCTAAAATTGTAGTCCTTTATTATTTCCCATACTTCAATGTAAATTACCAATTCTACATATCAAATTACTTTCAATAAATCAATGCCATGAAGACTGGGTGTCAGGGTAACTGTAGATTCTGAAAGATTACTTTCATCAAAATCCATAATAACTCAATTCAAACAAGTTGCTTATTAAAGACAACTGTAAGATAACTGGGCAATATGGATTAAATATGGTCTCAAATAATTAGTTATTATAAAAATGTTTGTTATTTTGGAATTATGTTAACAGTCAAACATAACCAATTGTAATAGGCTCTTTATTCAGGAGGCCTTGGCTAGCAAGACCCCATCTGAGTTCCTGTGTGCAGTGAAGGTGCGTGCTGGCATGCATTCCTTTGGGGGAGAAGGGGGACGTCCCTTCCTCCAAGCTGGGCAAAGGTCCTGCACCTGGTGCCAGGCTCCAGTGGTGTTTTTCAGGATATACCATTTGTGCTCCTCCTAGTTAATTGTGTATCAAGATTCCTTTTGTGTTCTTCTAAATAGATCCTCACGTGCACCTCACTACCTCTTTTGTTGCCCTGAATGACTCTCTTCAGTCACAGATTAAAAGTTGCTAATCCTCCACATCCCCCAAGAGTTGTTTACCTTCAAGATGTTTACTTCCAAGTTGTTTTCCTTCAAGCTGTTTACCTTCCTGTCCCGGGATTGGCCTGACTACATCCTTGCCTTCTATGCCCCTATGCCCTATATAAGTACATGATGTTTCAATAAACTTTGTCTATACCTGCATGGTGTGGTCCCTTTCTGCCTACCAGATACCGAGTTCCCGGGTCTCACTGTGTAAACAGCAACAAGGAGGTATATATTTAGAAGGGTCATGACAATTTCAGAATTAAAAATAATATAGAAAAATGGGTGGGAAAGGCAGGAAGTGACAGAGTAAGATTAATTGGAATATATTATAAATACACAATATATGTAATAATTAAAAGTACCCCCCCCATAGCTAAACTAAGTTAGGAAAATAAAAAACCTACAGAAGGGTCTGGGAAGGTGGTTGCCTTGAATGCATGAGGCCCTGGGTTCAATTCCTCAGTACAACATAAGCAGAAAAAGCTGGAAGTGGTGCTGTGACTCAAGTGGTAGGGCGCTAGTCTTGAGCTGAAGAGCTGAGGGACAGCACCCAGGCTCCACAACCGACCAAAAGAAAAAAAAAAAAAAACCCTACAGAAAAAGAAAGGGAATTGCTATGTGCTGATGTCTCATGCCTATAATCCTACTTACTCAGGAGGCTGAGATAAGAGGATGTTGATTCTAAACCAGCCCAAGCAGGAATAATTATAAGACTCTTTTCTCCAAATAACCACCAAAAAGCCAGAAGTGCTAGCTTTGAGCAAAAAAAGCAAGAGACAGCCCCCAGAACCTGAGTCTAAAACTGGCACAAAAAGAAAAAAAAATAGGAATTATGACAAAAATGTTAATTTTTAAATTGGAGGAAAAATTATTACATTATCCTTTCTATTTTTATGTATGTTTAAAATATTCCTGTAGAACAAGGGAAGAGAACCAAAAAAAATGTGTTACCTTTTCCCAGCTAATTCAACCTGGCCCTTCTTATTGACGAAGAACTTAGAATCATTATATCCCCATCCATTCCATTTCATAACTTCTTGCCTAAAAAGAAAGGAAAAAAATACATAAGATCTATGCTAAACATTTCAAAACTGAACAGTATGAATAAACTTCCAAACTCATTTAAAAGACCTTATGCCTGGTAATACAGTATCACTTTAAATGAATACAAATTAAAACATGGGAACATTACTATTTTTAAATACAGAATCACTGTGATGAATTAGAATGTAGCATCGTACATGCTACATGGAGAACTACATCAATAAATATGCCTTTAAAAAAAAGACTCGAATGAGAATGGAAGAAGTGCTTAAGAGTACGAATACAGTTCATCTTGTACACTACTGAGTTTAAATTGTAGAATGTACCCTAGCATGTGCAAGTTCTTGGGTTCAGTCTCCTAAATTTCAAATATATAAACTGTAAGGTATCTTGAGAAGTTCTCAATTAAAACTAATAATTCAGGTGAACTAGGCACAAGTTGCTCAAACTTGTAATCCTAGCTACACAGGAGGCTGAAACCTGAGGATCACAGTTCGAAGTCAGCCTGGGCATAAAATCTGTGAGACTCTTATCTCCAATTAACCATCAAAAAGCCTGAAACGTGGAGATGTGGAGTAAGTGATAAAGTGATAGCTTTGTGCAAAAAAGCTAAGAAGCAGTATCCAGGCCTTGAGTTCAATCCCTAGGACCAGCAAAAAAAGAGGGAAAGAGAGGTCAAAGCTACTTAGTGAGATCCTAAATCAAAATATTATTTTTATAGGATTTTTTTAAATTTTATTTTATTGTAAAGATGCTGTACAGAGGGTTTCAGGTACATGAATAAGGTAATGAGTACATTGTCGTGCATTGTAAACATCCTTGTTTTTCTCCTACAATCCCTTCACTCCCCTGGCTCCCCCACCCAAGTTGTAAAGTTCATTTCCAACAGTGTCTTTTGAGTCTTATTGTTGCAATGGGTCATACTGTGTCCTTGTTTCAGCATTTTGTTATTCCCCTTCCCCTCCCCAAATTAGATAAATATATATAGAAGATACAGGGTACCAAAATCAAATACAGTGACAAAATATTACTTTTTAAAAATAAAAATATTAATGTTGGGTTCTTAAACTTCTACTTCCATTAAACTATCAATCTCTACCTTCACCTGTACATCATAATAGTTAATAACTAAGCAACTTTTCAATATTCCAAACAAGGTTCTATTTTTAATTTCTAAAATGTTAACATTTCATAGTTTTAAAGATTACTTCAATCAAACTCCATAATAACTCAATCATTCAATTTTGCACATTACACAAGAAATATGTAAGCCTGGTGCCTGGCAACCACACTCAAGTGGAGTGTTAGTATTTATCATGTTTCACCACAGTATCCTACTGTGATCTTTGGCTCAGCACTAAATCCATAATAAATCTTCCTACTGCTCATTTAGTCATGTGGTTTATGATGAAAATAACTTGATCAAAACTGTTCTCTAGCCAGAAGGTTATTTAATTCATTAAAATTTCAACACAAATTTGATGGCACACGCCACTACTCAGCTAAAGAACTCATCTCCTGGGGCTGGGAAGGTGGCATGCTTTGCATGCCTGAGGCCCTGGGTTCAATTCCTCAGCACCACATAAGCAAAAAGAAAAAAGCTGGAAGTGGCACTGTAGCTCAAGTGGTAGAGTGCTAGCCTTGAGCTGAAGAGCTGAGGGAAAGCACCCAGGCCCAGAGTTCAGGCCCCATTACCGGACCCCCTCCCCCCCAAAAAAAGAACTCATCTCCTTAAAAATACTAATAATATTCAAAGTAAAGAAGTATATACACTTTGTTAGCGTCAAGTATCCTTCTACTGTGTCATAACTCTCAAAAAATGACAAAATCTTATTACAATCATCATTCTTGCTCTACTTCAAAGGTTTTTCAAATAAGAGGTACATGAACATAATAAAATAGAACAGATACAAGTAATTAAATATATACTGAATTATCTATCATACAAATAACTGAGACAAAGAAACTAAGAATGTTCTCTTTAAAATTACAATTTACTATTTCATTCAGGAGACAAAGACAGGAACTTCAAGATCAACCTGGACAAAGAGAATTCAAGGCTACCCTGGGTTACATAGTGAGGCTCCCTCAAAACTCAATGATGATGATGATATAAAATTGTAGTTATCAATAACTCTCATTCCTGGCCAGGCACTAGTGGATCATGCCTATAATCCTAGCTACTCAGGAGGCTGAGATCTGAGGATTGCAGTACAAAGACAGCCTAGGCAGGAAAGTCCGTGAGATTCTTATCCCCAATTAACCATCAAAAAACCAGAAGTGGGGGCTGGGAAGGTGGCTCAGTGGTAGAGCTCTTGCCTTGCATGCCTGAGGCCCTGGGTTCGATTCCTCAGCACCACATAAGCAAAAAGAAAAAAGCCAGAAGTGGCGCTGTGGCTCAAGTGGTAGAGCGCTAGCCTTGAGCTGAAGAACTGGGGAACAGCGCCCAGGTCCTGAGTTCAAGCCCCACAACTGGACCCAAGAAAAAAAAAGCCAGAAGTGGAGCTAAGGCTCAAGTGGAAGAGTGCTCAAAGTTCAAGTCCCTGGCCCATACAAAACAAGGGGCCCCCATACCTTGCATATCAATCCAGACACTAGATTTGTAGATGAATCAGCTACAGACCACAACTCAATACTCTTCCATTGTTGTTTTTCTTGTTTTTTGTTTTGTTTTCCAACGCTGGAACTCAAGAGCCTCAAATATGGTCTAGTGGTGCTCTATCACTTGAGTCACCTGTCTAGCCTACAGCTGGTTATTTTAGAAATGGAGTCTCACAGACTTTCTGCCTGGGTTAGCTTCAAACTGCCTAGGTTAACTTCAAAGTGTAACTGGGTGAGGCACCAGTGCCTGGCTCCAATATTTTCTTCTATCTCTACCACATTCCCACTGCACCTTATGTACTCCACCACATGCTCTGAAACATTAGGTGCTGCCTTGTTACAGGCCCCAAACAACAGAGCAACCAGTCAGGAAAACCTTCAAGACTGTGAGCCAACAATAAGTTCATAATTCTATGCTCATGAACAATAGGCACTTGGAATGCATTTGTGCATAATCCAACGTCATATTGCTTAAGCAGTATATAATTAAAATATAGAGTATCCAAAATTAAATCATTTGAGATCTTCAAAAATTAAATAAAAGTAGGTAAATTTCCTAGGCTTGAACTCAGGGGCCACAAGCTGTTCCATGACTTTTTCAGTGCTCTATATAGTTGTTTTTTTTTTTTTTTTTGTCGGTCTTAGGGCTTGAACTCTCGGTCTGGCGTTGTCCCTCAGCTCTTCAACTCAAGGCGAGCGCTCTACCACTTGAGCTACAGCGCCACTTCCTGTTTATGACTTTTTCACTCACCACTGGCACTACATATGAGCCATATATCTACTTCTAGCTTTTTATTTGTAAACTGGAATTAAGTCTCTCAGATCTGTCTACCTGACCTGATTCTGAACTGTGATTGTCTGAGATCTCAGCCTCCTGAGTAGCAAGGATTATCAGCATAAGCCACTGGGGACTGAGCTATTGTAAACTTTTATTCACATTTAATCCACCAAATTACTAATATTGCTGGAAGCATAATTCTGCACACCTATAATCCCAGGAAGGTGGGAGGAAGAAGGATCAGAGTCCAATGCTAGCTGTCAAAAATGTAAGAACCTGTCTGCAAAACTAAAACAATGTGTAATAGTACTTACCTGGCAAGGCTGTGGCCCTAACTTTAGAAGCCCAGTACCAATAAAACAAAGAAAAAGAAGGAAGAAATACAACCACCTAGTCTGACTGTTCCTTATTCAAATAAAGTAACTACACAGGATAATGCCCATAGTCACACAACTAAGCTAGCTGTGAGCATCCAAGCACTTACTTCCAGGCCCATCAGAGGTAAGATCTGAAAACTGTCAAGGCACACCTCAAGAAAATAAAATAATTTTCAAGCCTGTGTTCACTATTTGTTTCTTCAAAGTACTATTATTCTGAGGTTATTCTTCTGTACTTCACCTGAAGTAAAACATTTAAAAATCAGAGAATTGTGCCAATAAGCGAGATACCCAATAACTCCAGTAAATTCTGTCATCTACAACAGAAATTCCAAAGCATTGCAAGCACTAAATAAAAGAATGACAGAAGAATCTCCATCATCCCATGAGTAACCACATCAATTAACCAGTATAACCTCTTAGGCATTTCAATTCCTGCAGATAACTACACTAAATTTGATGTCTTCAAAATTCAAGACTCACATCAAGATGAGAAGTGGGGCCAGCATGGGGAACAAACTGAAAAAGTCCTTGTATCCTCTGATTTAACTGGTGCTTACAGCCTCTGACTTGAGAATTTACTAAAGGGATTTCATGTTTAAAAAAAAAAAAAAAGCCCTTATCAGCAATTCTCCATAAATATGCTACACTTTAGAATCTGAATCCCATCTTCTGAAGCTTAACTGCACCTCTTGTGCTTTTTGCTTGGGATAAAGGAGTTTCTCGTTAAAAACAGTGCCAAGAATGACAAGAATGTTAAAAAAATATGTATTTTAAAAGAAAATGCCTAACGGGTTTTTAATATAGGTATCTGTAATTTCCACTTCCTTTTCTAGTTCTTGGTTTTTCAACTGAGATTACGTTCTCTTAATTCATACTGTGAAAAAAAAGTAATTTAATTATATCTAGTATTAATTTTTTAATAAAATTCTTTCATCTTAAAAAAAAAATTCAAGACTCCTCCAACTGACAAAAAATGTAGGCTTAGTTTTATACCATCAAAAAAAAAGTCTTACACATTTATGCATCTGACTACAGTAACAAATAGTGCAAAAACATTGTATTCACTGATATCATAAAAGAAAGTGGAGACATAAAATAACATCACATATACACAAGGTGGCAGTATTTGTCCATGATATATATATTCAGGTTTTTGCATTTCTAAGCTCATTTGTAAATCACTAAATATTTAAATTTATTCTGTTACTAAGACCATAGAGTTCCTTTCTTCAATCTTA